TTGAGAAGGTATGTGTATTGATGTTTCATCTGTGGGAGAAAGACCCATTCAATCTCGTCTCTACATTACGAGGGCCAAGCCATTCACTGCCGGTGGCCGGTGAGCCGTAAATCAGGCACCGCCCTGATTGTGTCGTAAAATGTCGTAAACGATCAGCAATCACAGCTGTGGGGCTCTTTATATGTCCTCATATCACGTGCCGTATTTAACGGGTCTTGTATCAATAAACCGATAAATACTTGTTTCCCTCCCCTCAACCCATCACGCACACCAATGCCGGTCCGCCATTTTGTGTGTTCCCTGTACCGTTCAAGGTCACCCCGAACAGCAGGCCGGGATCGAACAAACAATCGGAACCATCGGCAGTCACGTGGCCCGACATGCCGCGGGGCGTTTGTATAAACAAAAAAATGGGGCAAGTCGGGATTCAATTCCTCCATTAGTTTTAAGGGATTACGTGAAAAGTTATATATAGCACGCATGGTTAAATGTACTATTAAAGGACTAAATCAAAGCTTCGCTTGGGTTTTATCTGGATTGACCAATACATTGCAGTGCCAAGTTTACGTTGCATGGAATTGTCAAGAAAATGATAATACGTCCATCTTGATTGATGTCCTGTTGGTAAAAATGAACCCACTTTGAATGATGATGTGAATGAAAATTTCCATAAAATCGATAGGAGAATGACTAACGGCGGACTCGGTAGAGTAACCTTTAATTTCCAGATGAAAGTGCCCCGGGGCCTGGTCCGTAATGAATGACGGAGATGATCAGAGGATGGCAGCATTTCCATCACAGCGCCATGTTTTTTCACATTCTGTCAACACTTTGGGTGGAGAAATACGTCATAGAACAACCAAGACAACAAAAACCTGCGTGACTGCATACGGTGATAGACATCGAATAGCAAAATGTCCAACCACTTGTTTTACAAAAGCCGATGTTTCGGTGACCGTCTGTTATCTTCTTCGCGGGATCAAACGGGGGATCGAATGCACGACCTACCGAATGCAAGGCAACACTCCACCCACCGCACCGGTTTAAAAATAGACATAGTCACATAAAAAAATCATTTTTAAATGACTGTGATCGTGAAAGAAAAAAGAAGAAAATGTGGCAGCTGACCGTGTCTGATGACAGATGCCAATTCAGTGGTTAATCTCAAATCTCAACTATTCAAGCCATCTCTCTAGCTCATTCATATGTTACACCTCCTCTGCAGCCGTCACGTCTATAGCTTAGACTTGAACTTCTGTCAATGCGTCCTCCCGCAGTGCCTCTAGACACCACAAAGCTTAGCCGTGACACATGACGAATTCCTCATCAATTTTTGATCATGTTTTTTTAAAACCTGTTGGAAAAGTTAAACTCCTACGCGGTTGTTAGTTCGGCGCCTTGGGCAGATGAATACCTCCCCCTGCGGTGTCTGTACACAACACAGAGCTTAGCCGCGACGCGTAACGAATTTCCTGTCAGCCTGTGATCGTGTTTGGAAAATCTTTTCCAAAGAGTTGCATCCAAGTGTAACCTCTCATCCTCTCTCCGTGCAGAACGGCGTGTGCGGAACTCTTCATCACTGCCTCCCCCCGTGGTGCCTGCACGCACGGCATGGATAACTCCGACAGCTCGCTGGGCTCATCTCTCCATTTTTATTCATTTTACCAGTATACCACACTCAGATCCATGACCTGTTTTGCATAGCCTCCTTCGCAGTCTTGTTGGGCGTGGGCGTAATTTTTTCTCTGAGCGACGCTAGTAATATGCCGCCGCGAGGGACGATTTGCTGCCGAGGGACTTTTGCCACGGAGAGAAGGTTTCCGCGCTCCAACAAGACTGCTTCCAATCGGCGAGTTAAAAGGACTATCAAAAAACACTTAGGAGCGATTGGCATGGATGTGTGAACTTCCCGCAATAAACGCCACCAGTGCAGGGTGGTGTTCACGCCCCGTTGATCGACGAGCCAAAACTTGTAACTT